TTATAGATTCTGCTACTCTTTCTATCACTGATGTCTTCTCTCAATTCATCGAACTGCCGTATTTGTGTCATCCTGCTGAAAATATCGGCTGTACGTTCAAGCTGATAATGAACGACTCAAGAAAAGGAGGGAACTACATGCTAATGAATACATTCGGGCAGTTCGATGAATTGAGTGAAGACATCAGTGATAGAAAGAGTAGCAGAATCTATAAACTATACCTGTTTGGGAGTGGGTGGCACGGCAGTCTTCATATCATCCTGCTAAAATATTAGTGATAGATAAAAAATTACAAAGCGGCGCTATCCTGAGTCAGGAAAGCACATGCCAGTCAATGCATCCCGCAATCTAATAAATTTAGGGAGAACTCCAGATTGTTTGTACAAATGAAAAGAGCGTAACCACTATGAACCGCTATGAACCGTACCTCCTTTGGAGTGGGTGGAACTGCGGTGTTCGTGTCGTCTTGCTGAAAATATCGGCGACATATTCAAACTGATGTGTCATTAATTCTTCTATTCTACATATAAAGCGTTGACTTTGTGTGCCGAATTGTCGATATGTATGTATGTTTGTTTGTTTGTATGTCTGTCCGTCCGCAAAATGCTTCAGGGGTTCGAATTAGTGGAAGGAGAATACAATCGCTTGACAAAACGGAAACCGATTTGTGCAGTCGTATCAATTCAGTGTTTTGATTGTGATAACAGTAAGACAACCATACGGTGCACGAGCTGTTCGCGTTGCAGCCGGGTGTGTGCTCGTACGGGAGCAGGGTGGGGCAGGGGAAGGGTACCAAGTGACATATCCGCTCTGCTTCCTTCCCCTGCACGTGTCCAGCCGGACCTGAGCACGTTTAGTGTACGGAAACGGGGGAAGAGGTTGGATAAAGGGGGGAGGTGCGAAGCGCGCAGTTGAGTAGGAGCACGCAGTAAGAGAGGAGGATGTAACCGCCAGCAAAACTGCAAGCTAATCCAACTGATTAACGAACTATAGCTGTTTTGATCGTGATGCCCTGTGATAATGCAACCATTTAGTACACTCCGAGCCATTGCACAAGCAGCTCGCGTGGCAGCTGGACGTGAGCTCGCGCGTGGGTTGCTCCATCTACGATCAAAACAGCAGTATGAGTAGCTAAGTGAACGAACAAATTCCATTTCCATTATGAAGTGTGCCTGGCGAAACCAAGCCGGCTAAAGAGAAGGAGGAGAGCTCGGCGTCAGCCGGGCGATCCGACTGGTGAACGACTAAAAAAGAAGGGGGAATCTACATGCTTATGAACACATTCGTGCAGTTCAATGAATTGAAAGAAGTGAACAGTACTAGAAAGAGTGCCAGAACCTATAAACTATACCTGTTTGGGAGTGGGTGGCACGGCAGTCTTCATATCATCCTGCTAAAACATTAGTGTTAACTAGAAAATTACAAAGTAGCGCCGTGTTCAGTCCACGTAGTGCTGACGTCTGAATAAGGCGATATTTCATATGTGACCAGTGTCATTTCACTCGCAATCTGAGAGTAGAATGTTAGGCGGGGCAGATTCAGGATTTGTCTTGTATAAATATGAAAATTACACCCTACACACCACAACCAACCTCCTTTGGAGTGGGTGGAACTGCGGTGTTTGTGTCGTCTTGCTGAAAATATTGGCGATAAAAATGAATTTGGACGACTTCAGATTCTCGTTCAAATTGAAAAACGTGATCACTACAAAGCAAACCTCCTTTGGAGTGGGTGGAACGGCGGTGTTTGTGTCGTCTTGCTGAAAATATTGGCGATAAAAATGAATTTGGACGACTTCAGATTCTCGTTCAAATTGAAAAAACCTGATTACTACAAAGCACACCTCCTTTGGAGTGGGTGGGACGGCGGTGTTCGTGTCTTCTTGCTGAAAATATCAGTGATATATCAAAGTTTCAAACTGATGTGTCTAGTGAACGACTTAAGAAAGGAAGCTCATCATGGTCATCAATACAGTCATGCAGTTCAAGAAATCGAGGGAAGAAGTTAGTTTTCTTTTAGTCGAAAAGAGTATCAGAGCCTGTGTGAACAGTACCTCTTTCGGAGTGGGTGGAACAGCGGTCTTCATATCGTCCTGCTAAAATATTAGTGTTACGTGGAAAATTTTGAATTTATTCAGCCCTTCTAGAACACCTTGAGAAAGGGACGCTCTTGAATACAGTAGGGTTGCGAAGCGGACTAAATAAAGGATACTCAGGTTCTCGATGCTACGAGAAAAGCAGGGCCAAGGGAATTCCACCTGATTGGTTGTGGCCTGGCACAGCAGTGTTCGCATCTTCCTAGCAAACGTGTATGAAAGATTGCAAGAAAGAAACTGCCGAAAAGGTGTGCTGCCTTACAACGACTCAGCGAAGCCCTTTCACATCAGCTTTCCGATGTCTTTCGATGATGTAGGAGAGAAGCGGCTTTGAGATGTGTGGATTGAGGAGCTCTTCGTTATTATGTCATGATCCCAGATGACAAGTCCAATATCAAAGCGCGACGGTAGAAAGGGGTAGGAGAGATGCCCGGCGTGGAGCGCAGACTGAGCCGGCTACCAGATGAATCCTTCTATCCACCGCATCCCTACTGAACATTGCAACTCCGGTAGATGTCTTCAACAATATGTGTGACCCTACGCTCAGTGCAGTGCTCGCAGCGTCGTATCTTCGCACAATAACCCGGCGTCCCTGGATCAGCATTGACAACTAATCTTTGGAGCCCAATGCGCCCATTATGCCTTGAAAAACCCTTAGGGTGGGTGGATCTCTAAAAAAAGGAACAGCGGCAAAGGAACGCTTTTCATTGCTGAATCGAGCTCATTCCCTCCAAGTCAAGAGGATCTCCTTTCGTTTCCCTACTCGCTCGCATGTGAGTGAGGAAAAAGCCAGGACTACCTCTTTTCCAAAAGACCATCTAGCACAGTTAGGCCTGTTGCCTAGCTGGCTTCGGGTTGCAACCCTTTATCGACAACATCGCCCCCTAGAGTTCTGAGGCTTGTCCTGGGTCAAGTCTCAGCATTCCAAACCTTACCATATTGAGAAGTCGTGCCTTTAATGTCCCTTGAATGTCTGCTGCCTTGGAGTGCCACTTTCACTTCCTTCGATTCACAAGCACACAAGCTTCCCACCTAATGTGCAAACGTCGGGTCGCTGCGGATGAAACAGCAGGAGCGCGAGAAGATGCACCAAGCGCAGACTAAGCCGCACCTTGACGACTTCTGTACATCTCTCCACCAGGAGCTGCATGCTCCGTAAGAGAAAACGCAAGTAGGAACCCCCCCTTCCAACATGACCAAGTACGACCCCCTCTCCCAAAATGACCAAGTACGACCCCCCCCCCCTTCATAAAATCAATGAAGCGAGAAAAATCAACTGTCAAAACACACATTTTTTCCAGCCCAAGTACGACCCCCCTCCTGACGGCAAATACGACCTCCCCTATTGGGGATTCCCCAACAACGACGTGCCCTGGTCAGTATAGGGAGTTCCCAGAAGCGGGTGTCTTCTTACAGAAAAATGAGCAGGTAGTAGTAAATTGATGCAATACGATAAAAAGTAAATATGATCATCGCAGCAAGAAAAGCGCTGACATAACGGAACTAACCGGTTCTGGAGTGAGTCTCGAAACAGTCTTCGGGTAGGCTTCCTGAAAAAAAAACTTACTAAACAGGGTGGTTGAGAGGTATGAGTGCACTTCTTCTGCATTGTTTCCTGCAGCCAATCTTTGTGAACAGTTTGGTCATGTGGGCCGTTTTGTAGCAATCTTTGTGGGCTCTCGGAGATAGCAGCAACTCTACTCACGGGCCTCGTTCCTCTTTTCCAGCGCGTGCTGCGCATCTCTTCTCACAACTCACCTATCCTTGGTGTGCGCCTATCAGATCGAGTGGTAGCTGACCCACAATTGTGGTGCCTTATACACCTCTTTCATTTCATTTCCAATCGGACACATACACCTCTTTCATTTCCAATCGGACACTTTTCGAACCAAATCGGACACATTCTTCACATCAAACAGTCCATCAACCAGACCGCACTAGGTATTGCCACACGCCCCCTCACCACATTCGTCATTTTTTTAGCGCAATCGTGATTTTTTTAGCATTCGTTCTATGAATTTTGTTTCTGCGACTTTTTCGCACTTTTGTTATTTCTCACAAACAGATACAATAAGTGGAAAGGGTCGATAAACCGATACAGAGATGCCTACGTCCACTTTTCGAGGGAGTTATTGCAAAATCATCGAATCGAATTCTCATAACTTTTTTCAACATCGTTCTTCTCACACGTATTTTCCACGGAGCGAATGTACTCCTACATACTGCATCTATATCTTGGCACACGAAGCTTAGCCCACTGACCCTTTTGTGTCTCTTCGCGAAATTTTAATTTTTTTATCGAAAATTCTGTCTTTTTGTGCTGCAACTAGATCCACCCACTATGAGAAGCTCCACCCATTTCCTAAAATCTCCGCCTACGTCTGAAAAATGGTCCAAATTAGCAGGTCAGAGCTAGAAATGGCATGCTGGTGCCTTCCTCGTCACTCAAAACAAGTCTTCCTGGCTTTATTTTGAGCGACAGGGAAATCCTGCCTTCTGGAAGAGACTTCGCGGGACCCTTGGGGAAGCGGCGGAGCGACGTGTTGCAAAAGAGGAAAATTTTGAAATTGGATCGAAATTTAAGAAGGGAAAAGTGAGCGCGGTCAAAGACCGAAGACGGTATTTATCAAGCCCGACTGTTCGGTCAATATGGTCACGTTCAGAGCCGAAGTCAATGTACTGCCTTTGGCGGAACTTTTGAGCGCTCCGCCAAAGGCAGTACACTGAATGGCGTCGATTACTTTTTTGTGTTCTCTACTCCTTACTGCAGCACGCTGATATAGAAGTTTGGTGGTGGGAATGCCTCCGCTCGTAACACTGACTAGAAAAAGATTATAGATTAGAAAGGCCTTTTCTATGAGACATCCTATCCATTCCG